ATTTTTTCTAGAATTCTGACTTTTTGCTCAGAATTCTAGCTTTAATCTCAGAATTCTGACTTTAATCTCAGAATTCTGACTTTAATCTCAGAATTCTGACTTTAATTTTAGGCTTCTGACTTTGGTCTCAGAGTTCTGACTTTAATCTCAGGATTCTTACTTTAGTCTCAGAATTCTGACTTTAATCTCAGAATTCTGGCTTTAATCTCAGAATTCTGACCGAATTCTGGCAGTTAACAAACATGTTAGCATTAAGCCGTAGCCATATCTGTTTTAGAGACTAGCTCTCTTGTTTTAATCCTCTATTAAACTTCTCCATTGCATGCCCGGGGACCTGCAGGCACATAAAAAATCACCTAATTCCATCATTTTCCACCAATGCGTCACTGGCCTTCTCAAACAACTCGCATCTTTGTCAGGGAAGCTGAGTGCTCCCACATCTCTTTCTTCATAGTTCCCATCTACCGGTACATTAAGATCCAAAATTATCAGATTAAAGTCAGAATTCTGAGATTTATTTTACAAATTGACACGTTGAGGTTGATTTTTATTTTTTCAGTGGCCCTAATCCTCTTCCGTGGACCTGAGTCCTGGGTGGGTGAGTTTAATAAGTTTTACCTGCGTTGACGACAGCGCCAGCTCTGCAAACGTCCAGATCTTAAACACAGAGTCTACGACTTCCACTGGTAAGAAAACAAACAGGATGCAGTGTAGACCAAAGAGAGCCACCAGGAAAAATGTGGATTTAATCAGCTTCCTGTTGAAAAAAAGGGAAAGTTATCAGCACAGGTTTTTTCTTCCCTTTTTTTTATTTATAAAACAAAACTCTGGACTCTGTTCACTTTGGAAGGTATAACTCATTAGTATGATTAATGTTAGTGTTGAATTAATGCCATTCTAGCTGCAAGTTGGAAAAACCTGCAAGGTTTTCTAACGAGGAATGAGCCAATACTGCTTTTTAGCTTTTTAATTTTCATCTTTGTAGCTTTCAGTATTGACCGAAACCCATTTTAACAGATAGGATATCAGCCCAAACCATACATACACATGGTTTTAATCATTTTGAACTTTTGGGAAAAAGGCTAAATTAAGTGATATCAATAAAACAGCACAATAATGAACAGCAACAGGTATGAGAAAAACTGACCCATGTATTATTAACCAATGGCTTATATAAAAATGTAACAAAAACTGACAGAAGTGTAGTGTAGTGTTTCTATCAGCTTGCTTTTATCTGACACAGGCTGACATGTTTATTCATTCATTCATTATTTTTGGCTTATTTTGGACCCATTACTGATATTAGTTATGGATAGGGACGTCCCGAACGGCAAAAAAACATCTTGAAATATGGAAAAATTTCATAAAAATGTATATTTACCCTTAATTTGAGTAGTTAAATAAGATGATTTGCTGATGAATGAGGTGCTTTACTCTTAAAATGAGATAATTAGATAGTATGCACTTGAAATAAGACAATGCAATTGTTTTTTCTTATTTTAAATATAAATTGTCTTGCCCAATTGTCAAATTGTCTCACTTACTTCATTAATTCAAGAAGAAATTCACTTATTTTAAGAAAAAATAAATTATTTAGATTTCAATTTTTTGCAGTGCAATGTCATGTTTGTCTTCCTCTGCAGCTATCATCACTTTTAAGTTTAAAGTCAGCCATTTTGCGTTATAATGGGGGTTTTATACAAATGAAATGCAGCAGTCCTTATCACCTTATGCCAGAAAGTCAAAACTAAGTGTTTTAGAATTTTACATTCCAAAAGTTTAGTTAAATATTTCCCAGAAAGACATCTTTAGGTCTTAACAGATCATTTATATTGAAAACACTATAAATGTTTTCTCTTCCTACACTGCCATATCTGACTGAACAAGAACAGATTGGGGTCTGATTGTTTTTACTAAGGCAGGAGCATTTTATCTCAGAAATAGTCTGGTTTATCACTCAAACAAAAATACCTTTTTGTCTTAAAGATGTTCTTGCAATCAAATGTTTTTCTAAGTGTGTTATATCCATGTTGCTCAAATACTGAGAACAATAATTAAAAAAAACGCAGGTTTTCAAACTTGCAGCCCAAACAAATATAAGTTAATTTTGATCCACCATCCAGTTACTGAGGTAAAATTAAGGAACGATACACAGACAACAACGAATCAAATGGCTATACAATAATATACATCATAAAAGAAACTCACATATACTGACTAAATTCATTCCGCTGTGCATCTGGCATTCTGAGTTTGCTGATAAGTATCCTCAAAATACCCAAGAAAAAGATGAGGTTCACCTGAAATAAATAGAACAGAATAAAACTTGTTTATCTGGAAAAATTCAAAAATGACATGTTTTGATTGGTTGGAAATTGTTTTCATCTAAAAAAAAAACAAAAAAAAAAAAACAATCTTTGATGTCAATTATTTATTTTGTTTAGATAAATTTACATTTGATTACAAATATAAAAAAATTCCATTTCTAAGGTGATTGCATAGCAAAAGCATAAAGTAACTTTTACACTGTAAAAGGGGGCAGGAATGTAGTTGTTAATTAATTTTACTCTGAATCGGCTAAAAGCTGAATTTTAAAATCTAAGACAAAACTAGGCTAATGGCATCACTAGATCCTTCGCTGGACTTACAGTAGAAGCCATTCAAAATGGCCCCTCCCAGTCAAACGTAAGCCGAATGGGAGCCCGATTCCCTGCAACTCCAACAAAATCCCCTCCAACCTCCAGCCAGTGGACTGACCCGCTCCTTCTCCTGGGCGTGCATATTTTTTTTACCTAGACTCCATCCTTTCACTGAATTAAAGGGTCTGACCAGATCTTCTTTAGATGTTAATGTCCACAAATCATGACAGAAAGAATATTTTAGTACGAAGACTGATGTTTAAAAAGGAATTGTAGGGAACCAGCAAAGGAAAGTGGGGAAATTTAGAATGGCTGCTACTGTAAATTAGCTAAGCTTAACAAGCTATTTATCTAGTACTAATTTAAAGTAAGATAATGGAGCATTAGTCAGCACTTACAGTATTTAAAAAATATATATATATTAAAATATTTTCAGGAATAATAAAACAAATTTTAAATAGCTCCAAGACAGTTTGGTATTTTCTTTATAGCCCCAGTAAAGGTTATTTTTCTTTTAAAGTTCCAAATATCCTCTGGTTAATAAATCCATCAGATCATGTATTTGAGCTTTAGTTGCATTAAAATGTCTATTTTCTATAGTATAAAAATATATCCCTCAACAGTTAAAAATGATTTGTTTTGCTCTTAAGTCTACATTTAGTTAAAATTTAAATCTCTGAGCATAACAAGGCCAATGATTACTAACCATCCATTGGTGTTAGCTGTTTGATTAGCCTTTACTTCATAATAATAGTCCATTTTATTCAATGAAATATGCACAAGAAAATTCAAATTTTTTATATTTTGTTTTGTTAATAGGAAAAAATGTTTTACACATATGGTAAGAAGAACTGGCATTCTCAGTATCCACCAAATCCATTCAAGTTTCCTGGTTTCCCAACATCTGTGGCCAGGAAATAAGAAACGATTATTACTAACTATGACAAACTACTATTTAGATGAATGCCTGATAAATCATTCTTGCATCTTACCCTTCATCTTCATAGAAATACTTAGCACATCCCCAGCAGACAATAACAATAAATGGAACACCTGTGAGGTGATAAAAAAAAAAAAAAAAATGTACGTTTTCAGACAGTCAGGAGGTTTATGAACTTTTTTACAGGTGAAGCAAAGCAAAACCTGTGAGACGCGATATATTGCAGTACCCCAGCTCAGGAGGATGTACCAGGCGAGGTGTTTCTTCAGGGAGAAGAAGGATCGGCTCACCAGGGTAAACAGGAAGTGACCCTCCGCCAGCAGCCAGCTGTAGTTGGCAAGGATGGAGTAGTTGGAGAACATCAGCACAATCTTACAAGCCACCTGCAGAACACCGTCGCAAAAAAGAGAGGCTGAATTCAGCAGCCCAACACTCTGATGCTTCTTGGAATCGTTCATATCGTTCTTACTGTGTAGTTGTCACAGTGGTAGAGCTCCTCATCTGTAAAGAGAAGACTGTCCCTGATAAAGATGGAGATGGCTCTCAGGATGAAGGAGATAAACAGCTGGATGTGAATGTGGTTCCTGGTGCAGTGCAGCTTCCTGTAGAATACATTAGATCTGCTTTAGAGGCTTTCTTTCATCCGCTGACATGTAAACAGACATAAAAGGAAAATATATCCCACCTAAACAGGCAGAAGATGGTGATAGCGATGGTAAGAGTGATGAGGGAGAGGGTGTATCCGATGGTGTACATGGTTTTCACATAGGAGTAATAGAGATGAGAATCTGGGGGCTGAGAAGAGATCAGTTTAATGAGAATTTATTTGTAGTTTGTTTCAAAAAATAACATTGGTTTGAGTCAGAATAACTTAACTTTTGTTTTCCTGCTTACAGATTTCTTTTGTATTTTACTAAATTGTAAATGTTTCCTACTCTCAAACATCAGTAAAAACTAAAGCAGAAAGATATCTGCTCCGAAAAATCCCTCCTGAATTAATAAATCCCTTTTCTGCTCTTTTATGGTACTCTAGCCACGCCCATTTCTGACAACATGAAGTAAGCTAAAAAATATTTTAAAGCAGCGCATGCATGCTCTAATCTAAAGAGATCAAAAAGAGATTAGAAACATAATCATTCGCCTTTATGGGTCTGAAAAAAAACCCAACAGTGAGAGACAAATGGAGAGCGGGGAACCCAGGAGGGGCTTAATGCACGGCTGTATCAATGATTTATATAGAAAGGGAAATGAAACCCTTCTGTGGCAGGTGTTAACCCATTTAATCAGATTTAAAATACAAGCAACACTCAGACATTGGAACTGACAAGAGGATCTTTTATCCTTTAAAATCTTCAGTGAATTAAATCAAATCTGCAAAGTGGAACAGGTGAAAATATTCTTCATCAGTGACGTTTAAGATTCATTTCTAGTTATTTTAAATCCCTGTTTGCACTTCTAGCCTCCAAGGATGATTATAATATTCAATTAGGTTGATCTGAAGCATTTAGTGACAAAAAAGCAAAACAGTAACAAATCTGGAAAGTGGTAAATATATTTCTCAGCACTGTAAACAGTCATAGGACTTTTTTTATTGTAAGACTATGCAAATGCTATTAAATATCTATTTAGAGTTTCTTTCCATGCAGGCAAAAAATATGGAAAATGCTCAAGGTTTAATCAGCATTATGTTTATTAGTTTGGGAAGGGAATGTAATTACTGCCCGACTACAGAAAGTCGGATCTGGTCGGACTTTATGGAATAATCACCTCACAGTGTTCAGTTAATAAAACTGCTTACCTCCAGAAAATGGAAGGACTCGTTGAAAGTATAGCCACAGGCATCCTCGTATGGGAGGAGAAGGTCTGTCCACCCATTAGTTGTGCAGTTGCGCTGCACTTTACCTGCAAAATACCAATAAAATCACTGCTTCCTTTCTCCTTTTGCCTGCAAAGAGGAGCTCTGCAGAAATATATATAAAAGAAAAGGAATGAGTGGCGTATTACATCTTTATTCAGGGTAGCGAACCTAAGTGATCAGCTTGATGTGACAAAGACTACATATTACCGAGAAAAATTGCTAGATAAACTTCCTGCCTTTTTGAAAATTTATTATCTTTATCTTCCAACACTCAGCACTCTTACATGTTACCCAGTCGTTTGTTTACATAGGCTTTACACAGCTGTTTGGATAGAGATCCTAAGAGGAAGAAAAAGTCTCGCTTCCCTTAGAAGACAAATTAGTTTTTTAGGGAAATAATTAACCAGCGTGATGTGGTGCAGATAATGGGTGGCAGTGTTTTTTAATGTGCGTCATCGTGCTTGCGTCTCACACCTTCTGAATTAAAGAAATCCGGGCATGGTTGGGAGACGGTTTCCCCCAAAGAGGCAGGTGGCCAGCAGTGCAAGGTGTCCCACATTCCCTTGCAGTGCACACTGCTGTTTACTAAACATATAAAACAAGAACGACAGGTTTCATGTTATTTTTTTCTGCAAGAGATAAAGCAGGCTTTAAAAAAAACTGATGAGAAAAAAATGAATGGATTCAATTAAAATTAAACATGCAATAAAATCCTTATTTTATTTCAGGGTAAATATCAGTGTGCGTGTTATTAGATGACCACTAGCTGTCACTAAAACATAGCATTATAATTCTGTAAAGGCCCAATTTTAAACATTAAACTCATCTCAGTGATATGTTAGATTCAAATCTGAAAAAAAGGAAGTTATTTTTGTCAAAAATTACACATGTGAACATTTTGGAATAAAAAAAAAATGCAAAAGCTGTATTAACTTACCTTTTGCTTTTTGCTCCTTCAACAGTATTAGATCATTCATGCACTTTTGTTCATCTTTAATAAGATTCATGTGAGGATAGCAACCTGATGATGTTCTACCCTGTAAAATAGAATACCATTCTGTTTTTTTTTTTGTATTCTCATGGAATAAAATCAAACAAGTGTTCTTCTCTTTACCTGGTGTAAAAGCAGCACCCCAATAAGCCCAACTTTCTGCATGATGTTCCCTTTTCCCTCTATGAAACCCATCTAGGTCCAGACTCCAAGCCGCATAGCTGATCTGAATAAAAAACAACATCCTTGCTGTTATATGCAGCTGATATATGGGCCCTTAAGATCAAACATTATATTGTAATGGGCAGGGCAAAAAAGAAATACCAACATCACTGTAGCTCCATTCAATTTCAAAATAAAATCATGATATTGGTTTATAAATAGGTAAATTGTTTTTCTTGATATGTTTTTTTTATGTACCTGTCATTTATTTTAATGTATATATGTTTCTTATGTAACTTTGCTGCCTCTTTGGTAGGACTCCCTTGAAAAAGAGGTTTTTAATCTCAATGGGATTTTTTCCCCCTGGTTAAATAAAGGTTAAATGTAAAAAAAAAAAATAATAAATGTACAGCAGAATTATGTGGTGTTATTGAAAATAGATATTAAAACTATATTTTCCGTATTTTTTGTTATTATTATAATTATTATTTCATTTAAACACTAGAAAAGAACGTTAATTGACATATTGAGGCTCTTACTTTGAAACGTTTTACGCGTATTTCCGGCCTGAGTATTTGGACTTGATGGAACTTTACCGCGCAGCGCCCCCCCTCCCCTTCCCGGTCACCATGGTAACGCAGGCGCCTAGTTTGCCTCGTTTCATAAACAACGAGAGATAGAGGCGTTTAGGCGTCACAGCTCCGGTAGGAACATTCAACAAAATTAGCCTCTGTCTTTCAAGAAGCCAAAACTCTGGTTTTTAATTCACTTTTAATTGTTAACCTTTAACTGTTTTTAAATTCTGTGCTCTGAAATATCTTTTTTTTTAAACTTTTGTCTCGGTTAATTACAATTTAACTTAATTTAACAGTCTAAATCTGGTAAAGCAGACTTTATCTTTAGAAATATAAGATTCAAGACTGTGGGGTTCCTACAGAAAACGTTCATAGTTCAAACTTTTTCTTTTGTCAATTATTCACCAATCCTTCCTTCCTTTCTCGCTTCATTCCTTCCTTCCCTCTGTTCTCTCTCCTTTCCTACCCTGCCTCCTTTGTTTATTCCTTACCACTTTATTATTTTACTCCCCTTTCCTTCTTTTTCTCCACCCATCTCTATATAATCTTCCCCTTCTTCCCATCTTTTTTTAAATACTTACCCCTTTTCCCTCCATCAATAATTTCCTCTATCTAAATGCTCATCCCTCCTCCCTGCTGTTTTGTGCTTCTGTAGAGTAGAACTATCTGCTATGCATTAATTTGGAATATTTGCATTTATTTTTTCAAAAACATAGATGTTGTGCAGCAAATTTCTCTAATGAACTCTTGCTTCGCTACATCTTCTTTCCTCATTTCCTGGTTTTCCAGCATTATTATATCTCGGCACACAGCAATCTCCTTGACTCCCCTCCAGCCTTCTGCCACCTCTCTCATGGGGAACCGGAGCTGACCTTTTGCCAGGATGGAGGTAGCCCCGTCTGGCTCGCTGAGGCTCTCGGAACCTCACAGGAGGGGGACGCCTCTGCCCCTGAGCCAGCTGGTGGAGGAAACCAGAAGCAGAGCCAGCGTCCCCAATCATCTGCTGGAAACAAGTATAAGCATCAACCTCTCCCTCTGAAGGGACTCAGATGAAACTATAAGCTCCTCTCTGACATTCACTGTTTATTTGTGAGATGTATCCTCATTACTTACAGAAAATAAGTATTATAAGAATATATTTAAAAAATAACTCATATTTTGCAACTTCTCTCACTTGATGGAGGGGTCTGAAATCATCATCATAGGCGTATGTCCACTCTGAGAGACATCTTAAAAAAAAAAAAAAAAATCCAGAAATCACAATTTTTTAACTATGTATTTGAATGATACAGCTGCAAATAAGTATTTGAATACCGGAGAAAATTAATGTTAATATTTGGTACAGTAGCCTTTATTTGCAATTCCACAGGTCAAACGTTTCCTGTAGTTTTTCACCAGGTTTGCACACACTGCAGGAGGGATTTTGGCTCACTCCTCCTCAAAGATCTTCTTTAGATCAAGTTGCTGTGCTGTAAATGAGAAACACCCAATTTGAGCTCCCTCCAAGGATTCTCTATTGGGTTTAGGTCTGGAGACTGGCTAGGGCATGCCAGAACCTTGATATGCTTCTTCCACAGCCACTCCTTGATTGTTTCGTTCCTGGTTGCTGTGTGCTTCGGGTCATTGTTGTGTTTAAAGACCCAGCCTCCACCCATCTTCAGTGTTCTGAGGGAAGGAGGTTGTTTCCCAATCTTGAAATACATGACCGTGGTCATCCTCTCCTTAAAACAGTGCAGTCGCCCTATCCCATGTACAGAAAAACAGCCCAAAGCATGATGCTACCACACCCATGCTTCACAGTGGGGATGGTGTTTTTAGGATTGTACTCATCATTCTTTTTCCTCCAAACACGATTAGTGGAATTATGACCAAATAGTTCTATTTTGGTCTCATCTGACCATATTTCTCCCATGACTTCTTTGGATCATCCAAACGGTCATTGGCAAACTTAAGACGGGCCTTGACCGTCTTATTTAGGCGGGGGAACCTTCCGTGCAATGCATGATTTCAAACCATGACGTCTCAGTTTATTATAGTGTTGCG